TGCCTGAAGAAGTGGGTTTATCAGAGCCCATACAGATGTTCAAACAGCTACTAGATGCATACTTGCAAAAACAGAATATTCAAGGATATAATCTATCAATGTAAGGTAATAACTATTTGATCCAAGGATAAATTTGACTGCCATTCTGGGGTCAAGAAGGAATTCTTTTCCTAGCTTTTTGTAAAATTGGAAGTGCTTCAAACAGTTTTTTTTGCCTTCTTTTGGATCAACAGCAAAAAACAAATGTGAGGAAGGCTGAACTTGATGGACACAAGTTTCTTTTCAGCTATATAACTATACATGAAATACTCTAAACCAGGCACTGCCGAGTAGAATATACAATGGAATGCACGCATCATCACAAAATTCTGGCAAGAAAGACTGCAATGGTGGAACACTCGTATGGAACGCATTACGTAATCACACATGGAACGCGTTGTCAGGAGAGCGGAACCAGGAAGCAATCAAGGAAAGGATCGAGATGAGCCGGAGGAGAGTGAAGTACTCTTTAGGAAGAAAACTTGAACTTACTGAGGGGTGTATATAAGGAGGGAGGGAAGGGGGGTTCATGCACTTTGTATTTTATCTTCAATCAAAAAACTGTCCCTGACTGGGATGAAACACGTAGGATTTACCCTGTGAATCTTTGGTGACAAGTTTCACCTGCTACTATTTACTTCTGTGTAAGTATTTGCATAGTGCATTCTATTTTTATGGTTATCTTATTTGGTTGTACTTTCTTTTCTCTTCATGAAAACGACTGCCATCAATAAAGTTCAAGATTTGAGATTGACATCAACTATTTTGTGAAGGCTCTTTAATTGTATCTAAAGTGTTAGTGGCCAATTAGCACTTAAAATACACCACTATTTTATTATACAGTTTTGCACTATGTTGTGCTGTACTTGTCTCCCCTAGCTGGACAAACCCTATATATTACACTTGTATTGATTGATGATTTGAGGAGATCTTCAGGTAACTCCATTGCTAGAAGGGAAGTTGAGTATCTAAATACATGAACTTTAGTTCATGCAAGCACTTCAACTTTTGAAAGAAGTGAAAGTGTAATTTTATATATATATATATATATATATATATATATATATATACACTTTACTTAAAGGACCACTCTAGGCATCCAGACCACTTCAGCTTAATGAAGTGTTCTGCGTGCCAGGTCCCTCTAGGATTAACCCCTTCTACTGTAAACATAGTTTCAGAGAAACTCCTATGTTTACCAATGGGTTAATCCAGACTCTAGTAGCTGTCTCATTGACAGCCGCTAGAGGCGCTACTCACTGTGATTTTCACAATGAGAAGACGCCAGCGTTCATAGGAAAGCATTGAGAATGCTTTCTTATGGACTGGCTGAATGCGCACGCGGCTCTTGCCGCGCTTGCGCATTCAGCCGATGACGGAAAAGAGGGAGGAGAGTCCCAGCACCGGAAAAAAGGTAAGGGATTAACCCCTTCCTCCGTCTTCAGCGAGTTTGTTTTCCTAGCACTATAGTGGTCCTTTAAGCAATTGATTTTGTGATACTGTGGTGTGCCTGCCCAACCCTCAAGTACTCTCCACCACCAAATACTCCCTGATGACATGGAGGGTGTGCAGCACCTATGTTCAGTGTCTCCACGCTCTGCATGTTCCACATAGAGATTCATTTATTTAATGAGGAGGTGCTCATTGGCGCAGCATGGTGTTTTTGCCGTCAACATGCAGTAACCTCCCAATGCTTTCCTAGACTGATGATCTTCGCCATGAAGGTGGAGCCAGCCACAGCAAAACCGCCATTGCATAATAAAAAAAGAGGAGTAAAACAACTTTCTCATCTGCTTGGAGTAAACCTAAACAGACACACACAGACACCGAAAAACACACATACATTCTCTCACACACTCACAAATTATTATAAATTTCTATCTTAAATTAAGTCCACAGAGCCTCCGTACCTTTGGGAGAGTTGGAGTGGATCCTTTCCCTTAAATCTAGTGTGGCTGCGGTCCTGCGGAAATCTTCAAGCTCTTCTGCTTGCTCTGCACGCTTGCATGTAATTTAGTGATGCTGGAGTAACATCATATCTCGGACCCCACGCCATGGTGCATGAGGGAGCAGAGCAAGAAGAGCAGGTAGATTTCAGCTCCCATGCCACCCGGCTCCACTCTAGCTTAGCTGGCCGCCTCCACTCCTTTGCTGCTGTACATACTGACAAATTCCAGGCGCTAGGACAAAATGTTGTTGAGCTCTGGCATAGTGAATGCTGACACAGTTCGGGTAACTAATAATCACACCAGTTGAAAGAGTATTTTAGAATGTCAACAAAACAAAAGCAACAAAAACAAATGTTTTGGCCAGGAATTAAAACCAAATTTAAAATTTTAAGCTACAACAACTATATTGGATAAATTCTCCAAGTCAGCTACTTTCAACTACGGTCTTAATATCAGTTTGAATCCACACCTTGAAGAGTAATCCTGTCAATCCTAATGAACTTTTATTTTTTGTGAGTTTTTCCTCCCCACACACAGTTTATAGCAAAGCAAACCCTCTAATTCGCAGCCAGTGGATGGCCACCTCGTGGCCTATTTCCTCCTCCAAACTTGACCTGTTCCTGTAGTTAGGAGCCATGCCGATTGCTTACGCTGTGTTGCCCAGAACTGTTTCTCGGCTAGGCCCGATGGCTCTGTCTCACTCCCTCCTATCCCTCGCGTGAAGACCCGCCTATCTAACTGGTTCCGCCTCAGGATCCGCCGCGAGTTTCTGAGCCTTACGGAGGCAACAACCAAAAAAGTAAACTATTAATAGGCAGCAGGAGCCGCCATGGAGCCGGGAGAGGACTCCGGAGCCCGGGCCTTGCTTGCCCTCCGCTCTGCGCCGTGCAGTCCGAGGATGTACGGTACGACCTATCCAGGATTCAACTCAACTGCATGCGAGAGCCCTGCTTTGGCCCGGCTGGAGGGACGGGACTTCGAATTTCTCATGCGAGCCCCGTCAATCACCATCGGACGGGACTCCAGCCAGGGCTCCGTGGATGTAAACATGGGGCGCTCCAGCTTCATCTCCCGCCGCCACCTTCAGCTCACTTTCACTGAGCCGCACTTCTACCTTCGCTGCATCGGCAAAAATGGGGTGTTCGTGGACGGGGCCTTCCAGCGGCGTGGGGCTCCCCTTCTCCAGCTACCTTTACAGTGAGTGGCTCCCAGGGACACATCGTAAGGAAAAAACAAGGAGTGGGTGTTGTGGCGAGTGTTTTTTTTTATTTTTTTAAATAAGGTGGTGAAAGCTCACCATCCCCTCATTAGTAACCATGTAATTTAGAAGGAGAGACGCTCTATTATCGTACATGTGCTGCTTGTTCTAGTCCCCCATACACTGAGCCATGTGTCCCTTTGCATGACATATTCAGGGATAGCTCCATATGCTGAACGTGACATGCCAAGAGCTTCTGACTAACAGGAGATAAGCATGGAGAGCTGTGAAACTCGGTGGCAATTAACTGTTCCATTACTGTAATACAACAGCAGCAAGTTTAGTTATTTGTGAGTAAAAGCTTTCCAACTTAACACACTTGCATACAATATCGTCTTTGGTTTTCTACCATGCGTTTAAAAATATAAAACTTATGCTTAATGACTGTGTAATATTATGAGAATTTTTATAGCTCCAACATATCCTGTAGTACTTGCAGCTACAGTGGACATATAGTGATTGACAGTGAAATTAATGTTGATACAGAGCTGTGCTCAAATAACTTTACACTCTAGGATAATATAAATAAAATTATTATTATGACATGTTGTGAACTTTGGAGACCTGTCAGGGTTGACTTTTCTACTAGTGTTATACCCAGTACTGCAAGAACAGCTTTGTTTACATTAGGCCGCCTTTGTTCTTTTAGTATTTTGGTGTATTTGCATTTAACTGTCAGCATGGGTGGCAAAGGTTTGTTATTCACTTCAGCAACTGCTTCTTCGTTATAAAATCATGGCATAAAGTCAGGAAAAAAATTGTTTCATAACCCCTTAAGGACGGAGGCAATTGTACAAGTTCTGATCAAAACAAAACCTGGAATTTGCGCTATGTCTGTTCAACCGTAGTTCACCTCATATTACGTGCAGCCACACTTGTATATCATTTTGTTTAGTTAAAACAGAGCTTTAATTTCACATCAGATATTTATATAAGCAACATAAGTTAATATGAATAAAATGTAAAAAAAATGTGGGAAATTAAGAAATTTTTTTTTTTTTTTTTTTTTTTTGTTCTGCATTGCATTTTAACTGTGAATGTCATAATACTGTTCGCTTTTACGTCAATACAATACACATATTTGTATTCAACAATGTCTAACGAGTACAACAGTACCGCTCATGAACAGGTTCTATGGTGTTTGGAAAGTTACAGGGTCAAAAATAGCATTGATAGATTAGTAATGCTGCCTTTGAGACGTATGAGAAAAAAAAGTGCAAGCCTTATATTTGACTCTATAACTTTACAAAACACCATAAAACCTATACATGGGGGGTACTGTTATACTCTAGAGCAGGGGTAGGCAACCTACGGCACTAGTTCCATGCACGGCACTCAAGGTGTCTTTGCACGGCACTCAAGGCTGCTAGAGCCAAACAGGCTGGTGAAGGACAATCCTCAATTTATGCATTACAGCACATAGAGGAAGTGATCTCAGATCACTTCCTCCCAACACTTGCAGCTGCTGTTACTGCTCCTGTCCTTGACCTCTACCTGGCCAGCCTGGTCCCCACTGGAACCCAGGGAAGCCACCCACACTGCTAGATATACACAGAAATGTAGAATAACCCTCCCCTCATACAAATGATATGAACAGCCCACACACAAACATACACACAATCCGCACAAACATAACCCGCTAACAATCCACATACATGCACACAACCCCTCATGCAGCCTCTCACATGCAATACCCCAAACAGCCCACACACTACCAAACACACAATGTGACATATCCATCCACACACAATTCCACAAGCAGCCCTCATACACAGCCCACATTTATATGTATCATACACAATACCATAAACTACTAATGAATATATTCAATCTAATAGCTCATATACACACAAATACAATGATACAAAGCAATTACAGTATAAACAATGCAAGCAAAATACGGCAACATACACACCTCAATTTAAAAAAAATAAGACCGGCACGCTACGGGACATCACAAACCTATATCGGCTCACAGTGCTGCTAAAAGGTTGCCTACCCCTGCTCTAGAGACTTCACTGAAAACAAATATTAGTGTTTCCAAACAGTAAAATGTATTCCAACAGTATCATCAAATGCTGTTTGTGTGTGAAAAATGTAAAAACCTTCCTTTCACTGACAATATTTATTGTTGTAATACAACTTACCGTTTTAAAACACAAATATTTGTGTTCAGTGAAGACCCTAGAGTAAAACAGGACAGGTTTTATAGTGTCTTGTAAAGTTACAGGGTTAAATATAGTGCTTGCAAATTAAATTATCTGGACTTTCTGCCTGGGTTGTCAGGCATGTCCCTCAAATTTTAATCACTAAAATCACAAATATCTTAAAAGACTACATAAATATACACGTAGAATTTTATTTTATATACAAATATCTGTATTTAAATTCTATGTGAATATTTATGTAACTTATAAACGCAACACTTTTGTTTTTGCCCTCACTTTTCATGAGCTGAACTTAAAGATCTAAGACTTTGTGCCTATTTCTCTCAAATATTGTTCACAAATCTGTTTTTGAGCATTTCTCATTTGCCGAGATCCATCCACCTCACATGTGACATATCAAGATGCTGATTAGACAGCATGATTTTTGCAAAGGTGTGCCTTAGGCTGGCCATAATAAAGTGACTCTTATTCTTGGAATAGTCATTTGTTCGTATATTATTCCCACGCATGCGCAGGACGTTCAGGGTTTTTGTCCTCCCCGTTCGTCTATGCGCAGGTGTTCATATCTGTTTAGATATTGCTGCACGCATGCTCATGGCATTTCAGGTTTTTCTCTCCCATACGTCTATGCGCATGTGTTTCTTACATTCTGCTCACGTCATTTATCTTCTTCCCGAGTCACACAGCTTGTACGTCAGTGCGTTCCACGGATGGAACGCACGCCAACATTTGAATCGAATTCACAAAGATTATCTTTAGTATAAAAAGCCCTGTTTACAGAAGCAGTACTTCAGATCCCTGGGGAAGTCCCTACATAGGACGAAACACGTTGGATTTTATATTTGGACTGCTTATGGACTTTTATTTGTCTGTTTTTATTTTGTTTTTCATTCACTTCCTGCTGGT